ATTTGAAATTGAAATAAGAATATAAAAAATAAATTAAAATAAAGTTATGTAGATTTAAAAAAAGAGAAACAAAAGTTAAACTTTTTTACCTTTTAGACACATACGACAATTGTACCCAACTTCTTTGCATGCGAACACAAGATAGGGTAGGAGAAGAAATTAGGACATGGATAATATGGTCTTATCAAGATGAAAATGGGGCAGTGAGACTACAAATAATATAAGGGGAGTGCAAATAACATTATACAAAATATATATGGAGACAAATAATATTATGATTGTTTATACTTATCTATCCCTTTATATATAAGGGTAAATTCCCTTTTGACCCCCTAAACTATACCCTGTTTCCTACTTCAATCCCTAAACTTCTAAATGGGACACTTAAGTCCCCAAATTATTGAATCCGTCCCAATTAAGTAAAACCGTTGACAGACTCCATAGAATCATCAGGGTTTTTCGAGCGTGCAAAACAAGCGCCGTTAGTGAGACTAAGTAAGCCATGAACACTGAAATAGCCAGGACATAATTGTAATTTTGCCCAATACAAATAGCAAACAATTGACCCAGCTTTGTTTCTGTCGTCTTCACCAGTGGCACTTAATTGACCCAATACAAAAAGCAAACAAATCCCCAAACTAAAAATTGGTGGGCAGAGAGAAAATGAGAAATCCCGATCCATCCATAAGGGGCTAAGAGAATCTGAAAAACAAAGACAGCCGCGTGAGTGGGAGTTCTCCGTCGCTGGACGCCACACAATTTTTTTACAATTGCGGAAACAGCTATGAGATAATACCTCAAAGGACCTTTTTTATTATATATCTTCAGCTGCTTCTTTTGGAAATTCTTGTATGGCGGCCTCAACAGCTGGGGCTTTCTTTGTCTATCCGGCCAGCCACCTCTCCCTCAGGCCTTATCACCACCACCACCAACAACAACTTCTTCGATGGCTTCAATCCCCTCCTCAACCGCCACACCCTTGTTCTGCCGACCTCCACCTCCTCATCCGACCGTGGGTTCCGTCCATCCTCCCTGGTAAGCGTAGTAGATTCTTGTCGATTTCCTCATCCGCCGTCAGCTGCCTAATTTCCGGAGTGGACGGCGGTGGAGTCTCTGACGCTTTCGTCTCCACTAGGAAGTCTAGATTCAGCCGCGAATTCCCCGTTATCGCCAATATGCTCAAGCGAATTGAGCCACTCGACGTCTCCGTCATCTCCAAAGGTGTCTCCGACTCCACTAAGGACTCAATGAAGCAGACCATTTCTGCTATGCTGGGCCTGCTCCCATCCAATCAATTTTCCGTCACCGTCTAGTTTCCCAAACGCCCTCTCGACCGCCTTATCGTTTCCTCCATAATTACCGGGTAATTGCTTTAATCTTCGCTCTCTAATTGATTACAAATACTTTTTGTTTCCAAAGCTGAACTTTGGACCGCTTAGTGATTCCATTGGGTGGGGAAATGTTAATTCAAATTGGCTGGTCCAAATTATTCAGGTATACTTTGTGGAATGCGGAGTATCGGATTTCGTTGATGAGGAATTTTGACATAACTATGGATATCTCCAAAGATTATCAACATTTGAAGGAGAATGGGGTTTTGGAGCTGAAGGGAAAACAGAGTGAAGAAGCAGAAGGTATAGCTAGAGTGGATGGTTGTGCGGAAGTTTTGGATAGAAAACAGGGGGATAGCCTCAGAAACAGCTTTGTTTTTGTCGTCTTCACCGTGGATTTGAACAAAGCTGTTTCTCTCTATTTTCTTTTCCCCTTATACCTAATGGGCGAAATTACAATTACGTCCTGGCTATTTCAGTGTTCATGGCTTATTTAGTCTCACTAACGGCGCTTGTTTTGCACGCTTGAAAAACCCTGATGATTCTGTGGAGTCCGTCAACGGTTTTACTTAATTGGGACGGATTAAATAGTTTGGGGACTTAAGTGTCCCATTTAGAAGTTTAGGGATTGAAGTGGGAAACAGGGTATAGTTTAGGGGGTCAAAAGAGAATTTACCCTATATATAAATGGGGCTTGTTTGGTTGATATATATGTGAAAATAAAAATGGATGTCAAAATTAATACTACTCATACAATTGCTGTGGAAATCTTCCATACGAATTTAGAATAAACATGCTAAAACTTGCCCATTAGTCTAATCATTTCCCACTTGTGCACTAAGTTTCGAGTGAATTAACTCGTTGATACAATGAAAATGATAAATATATAGGTAGACTTTATTTATAAATCCACATGTAAATCAGGTGGTACATTCAACAACTAAGTATTTAGGACTGGCAATTGGGCAGGTTGGACGGGTTGATATCGGATTTTCATTTAAATGAGTTATATCCAACTTTAAATTGGGTTAATTCTGGGTTGGGTTATATTGGGTCATCTCAAAATCATAATTCAAATATCACCCAATATATTAATTAATAGATTTTGATACATAAATTCTCTCAAATACATTTTTACATAAAATTTTTTTTTTCACACACATAAACACATTTTCCCACACTAAAACAATATTGGTCCAAGTTGGATATAGCATGAAAAACTAGTATACCAATATACGATTTTCCCTTGACAAAAAAAAATATACGATTTTCCAAGTCCTGTTACTTGATTTAGCGTTAACTATAACAAACATATTTCCAGTCTCATAAAAGATTCAATCACGCCTTAATTAAACTGAAATTTTGATGAGAGAGATACAATTCTCAACCAATTAGTTCAAATATCACTATCCAATTCATTTGAAAATTTTTGGAAAAATTAACGCAGCATTAAAACAGGTCCAATGACAACTCAGCCATCCACCAGTCATTAATAAAGCACATTCTAATGCCATCGGTCCTACATTTTTCTAAAAATTTTAAGTGATAAAAATTAAAAAAAAAAGATAAAAATAAAGGAGAAAATGTCCTACTTTATAATTCTAGAGGAAAAGTTAATCTATGATCCACTTTCTAACCATTTTCTATTTTTCGAGTACTCAGCTTTGGATTCTAACTTTAGAATTTGGTATTGATATTTCGTTTAATATAGCAATACTAATATAGCTACATGTTAAGTCATAACATATAATGGAATCCGTTGTTCTTAATCAGTATTGTTTTTTCAAAAAAAAAAAAAACCAGTATTGTTACATGGCAAAGGGATTATTACATCAGCAACTATTTTTAGTGAATCTGTGGTTCTTGACTGGTATCGATATGTGACAAAGGGATTATACCAGGAATCGTTTTGACATATTATTTGTTGCCAAGCAAGACAAGAAGTTTTGGGCTCGTTGAAGTTGTCGGGACAAGAGTTATTTCTTGAATTTAATTTTTTATTTGTTTTTTAAATTTAAGTGGGGTAATGAGTGTTCAACATAAATATCCAAACCGTCCAAAATATATCTTGATTTTTATTACTAAACCCAAAATTGACCCAACACTTAAATTACCTAACCCCAACCTCTCAAATGAGTGGGTGAATTGTTGGATTTTGGACATAATTGCCGGATACTCATAAAGTTTGCATGTTTGTATTTCATGCAAGAAAAGTAGAAAATTAATGCCAACATGACTATTATGGCTACTTAAATAATATCGCAGTTTCGAGTAATCTCTAGATCAAGCCTACTTAAATAATGCCCAAGGAAACAAATTATGGCTCCGAACCAAACATAGATTGGAATGACAAAAATCATACCCATAACGAAATACACTTATGATTCCGCTACTAATTTCCGTAACACAACCCAAACAGCCCTCGATTATAATTATTCAAGTAAGTTGGATTAATCTTAAATAATGCCAACCACCCAGCTCTTAGATAGATTAGTCAATCTTATTTATACATACATATATATATATATATATATATATATATATAGTAGTAGTAGAGGTGGCAATGTGGATAAATGGTTCATAATTGGTTTTGACTTAATGGATGGTGGATGAAATTTATCTAATCCATTTAAATCCATTTAATAAATGGATCTAAATGGATGGATCTAAATGGTTTAAATAAAAACCAATTATCCATTTATAATCCATTTAAATATTTTGATTACTTTATTTTTGTATTATCATTTTTTGTAATATAAAGATACTTTTTTATGTACTTGTAAATTTTAGGTGTGTGGATGGGAAAGAGGACAAAATACGCCATTCTCTCATGGTCGTAAAAGGACTTTGGATAGCAAAAGAACTACAATTAAGCTATCAAACATTAACTGGTGCAGAAACTTATCACGCGATTGAAGGTGCTTGCAAATTGCAATCCCCAGTTCACAAGGGAAGACGTAGTCACAAGCCATGTCAAATAACTTTACTACGATAGTTTCAAGCTTTTTAAGGTGGCAGAAAGCGGAGAATGTTTACTTTGATTCCTCTGTTTATAGTCCTTCTCCAATGCAATTGCAGAAAGAGATTGTAGCAGTTAATAATAACCAACACCACAAGGAATTAAAGAAAAGAATAAAATTCAAACTGGCATATTTTATGCCAGCAGGCACATGTATGCACGGCAGAGAGAGAGAGAGAGGCCACCAAGGCCAAGGGGAGCTGCTGAGGCCTCACCAGGCATTTCCTTTCCATTTCTTTTATTTGATTTTTAAGTAAATGGATATATGTGGTTTTTGTGGATAATCCATATAAATTTATTTAATTTAATGATTTTGCTTTGATCAACCATTTAAAACCAATATTATAAATGGATAATCCAAATCCATTTAATTATGGATTATATGGATGGATAAATGGATCTCAATCCAAATTGCCACCTCTAAGTAGTAGGTATGAATCCATGTCACCTTATCGGTCCAATTTTTACACCACAATTCATCCATGGCGGTCAAGTGAATACGCTGTTAGATTAATCCTAAATTATAATTCTGCATGTAAAACTTGTCTAGTAAAGCGTGAATTAGTAACTAACTGCTTCCTTAAACGTCGCAGTAACAGCTAAACAAGATCTCTGCGTCGGTAGGAACACTATATATACCCTGCACACTCGCACAGGGGATACATTCTCGATTCGTGGAATAACATCTCTCAGACTTTCTTCATTTCCCATGCCATCATCAATTCATCATCTCTAATCCATTCTTCTACTGCTACTCGTGAAAAGAATCCTAAAATCCTCGCCCCATTAAACCCACCCACCAATCAAAAACACAAACAAGTCCAAAGAACCAAAAGAAGTGGAAAAAAGGCAACTCAACACTTTGTTCCTCGTCTCTCCCTGAGGTACTTTTACAGTACGCTTTTTTAATTTTTTTTATTGTTTTTGTTATTCGAAGAGTAATCAATTTAGGTTTTCATTTGTGTTAGCTCGATGGTTTAGTAAATCTGTTTTTTGAATGTTCAGTAACATGTAATATTGATGATTGTGTTTTATTGTCTTTGTGATCAATACTGTTTCGTTATTTTAGTTATTGCTTTGTTTTTTTATTGATGATACACTTTTTTTTTTGTTTTTATTGTTTTAAGTATTTAATCAACACATTTTCATTATTTTTCTTCTTGTTGTGAGCTTCATCTGTGTCAGTTTTGATCAAAGTGAAAATGGATCAAATTGGTATTATGTAAAGCTTTAGAGGTATCTGATTTTAAATATTTAATGCAGGGTGCATGCCAATTTTTGAGGTATAGGCGTATAAGGTGTATCAATTAGTTGGATTCGAGGAAAGTCGTGGGAGAGCCATATATTGTGGTGAACATGGATGGGACTGATTATAGGTTGATTATTAAAGAGTATGGAACAAGTGGGATTGTAGGTGCAGTTATTCTCGCCATAGCTGTGCCTCTATTTCTCTCTGTTGTACTTGTGGGGAAGAAGAAGGCAAAACAGAGAGGAGTTCATGAACAAGTTAGTGGTGAGGCTGGTCTTGCAATGCGCAATGCTAGACAGGCTAGATTGGTCGAGGTTCCCTGGGAAGGAGCGACGACTATGGCTGCTTTATTTGAGCAGTCTTGTAGAAAGTATTGGGGGCAAAGGTTTCTTGGAAGGAGAAAGTTGATAGGAAGGGAGTTTGTGACGGCCAGTGATGGGAGAAAGTTTGAAAAACTTCATTTGGGGGATTATCAGTGGGAGACTTATGGCCAGGTATTTGATCGTGCTTGCAATTTTGCATCCGGTCTTGTTAAATTAGGCCATGATGTGGATACACGGGCTGCAATATTCTCTGAAACTCGGGCTGAGTGGTTCATTGCGTTTCAGGTAGATGAAATTGTTTTTGTATTTTTGGGCCATTTTTCTTTTTTCTGCCCTTTGGTTTTTTGATAAAAATATTTGTTTTTGGTTCAGGGATGCTTCCGGCAGAATGTTACCGTTGTTACAATTTATGCTTCCTTAGGGGATGATGCATTAATACACTCTCTGAATGAGGTAGGAACAAAGTGCATTTTTGGATTCCAACAATCTGCCTACCTTCTTCTCTGTATAGCTCTTTTAGTGTCCTTTCCTATTTATGTTCTTCAATATATCAGAGATGAATCTGGCATCTTAGAACTTTGGACTCAGCAGTCCTTAATGGAGTTCATAAATTTTTAACAGACTCAAGTATCAACATTGATCTGTGACTCCAAGCAATTGAAAAAGTTGGCTGCAGTAAGTTCAAGCTTGAAGACCATTAGAAACATTGTTTACTTTGAAGACGGAGAGGCTTCTAGTGACTCAAACACTTCTGGAAATATTAGCAACTGGACAGTCTTCTCATTCTCTGAAGTAGAGAAGCTTGGTAAAAGTAATCCTGTTCAGCCAACACTGCCTATTAAGAAGGATATTGCCGTTGTGATGTATACTAGTGGCAGCACAGGCCTGCCAAAGGTTTAATCATCTTTTCTTTTTTACATCTTTCAGCAGAAATGAACTTTTGGTGCCTTTTATCATCTAGTGTTAACATGAAACTGCTTATTCATTGATGAAAACAAAACGCTCAGAAAAGATTTGTCTTTCATCATTGGTGTGTTTGTTCTTCAATATGAACTAGCAAATTGCTAAAACATTGAAATTTTTTGTGGAGAAAGTAGTGTCTCTACTGGACTTTGTGGGTAAGGATGTGGGTTAACCTTATGTCTATCTAGTGGTAACAGATCACAAATGCATACACAAGCTTGCATTTGCTTGTGCAAAGTTATAGGCATCAAGACCTTCACCTAGTCATTGTAAAGCTACAAATTGCTCCTCTTTTACTCCTTATTCCACATTTCAGTGCCAGTTTTAAGAATTGAGCCCGATCTCCATCAAGAGTCTTAGGCTTTATTCTACTTCTCCAAACAAATTGTTTTTTCATGGAATTGTGATGTTTTGTTTCTGGGCTCTTGCACTATGCTTATGCTGTACCAGTATGATTTCTAGGGTGTCATGATAACTCATGGCAATATCGTAGCCACAGCTGCTGCAGTTATGACTGTGATCCCGAGACTTGGAAGTGATGATGTTTACTTGGCCTACCTGCCACTGGCTCATGTTTTTGAATTGGCTGCTGAGGTACCTTCTTCATGATACTTTGCATCTCAACATCATTGGTTATTTAGATTGTCCTTCTAAAATTTGTTTTTCTCTAGTCTGTGATGTTGACTGCAGGTGCTAAAATTGGTTATGGCTCAGCATTGACACTAACAGATACATCGAACAAAATCAAGAAAGGAACCAAGGGAGATGCTTCAGCGTTACAGCCTACTTTAATGGCAGCAGTTCCTGCTATTTTAGATCGTGTCAGGGAAGGAGTATTGAAAAAGGTTTGGACTATATTGACCAAAAATATTCTACTATTTGGATGCTATTTGAATCCTTTTTTAGATTGACAAATAGCTATCAATGCACCTTTTTCTTTTCTTTTAATTGTTGTTTGATGTCTTTAGGTTGACGAGAAGGGAGGTTTATCCAAGCAACTCTTCAACATTGCTTTTAAGAGACGTTTGGCAGCTATAGAAGGAAGTTGGTTTGGGGCATGGGGCTTAGAGGCACGACTATGGGATATAATCATCTTTACACAGATTCGCTCTGTTCTAGGGGGAAAAATCAGATTCATGCTCTGTGGTGGAGCTCCTTTATCTGGTGACACACAAAGATTTATTAATATCTGCATGGGGTAATATTTCTGATCCTCCTGTCCCAGACATAACCACATCTATACTTTCCCCTCTATGGAAAAAAGAAAAAGGAGAAGAAAAAGTGATCCTATCAGGATGCTAATGTCACTGCATAGTGTGTACATAAATGATGCCATTCATGTTATTCAGCCCAAGTTTCTCCTGTATTCCTGTTCCATCATTAGCATCCATCTGTATTTTATACACAATGTTGCAGTGCTCCCATTGGTCAAGGATATGGGCTTACAGAAACTTTTGCTGGAGCTGCTTTCTCGGAGTGGGACGACACTTCTGTTGGACGTGTTGGACCTCCTCTTCCTTGTTGCTACATCAAGGTGAGCTTAGTAACATCTGCCTGGGAAACAAATGGAATCGATAAGTGGATATCATTGGTTATCTTATTTCTTTTAAGAGGTTTTTGGTTACATATTCAAAATTTAATAGTCTGATTATGTCATCTCAAACTTTGAAGTGACACTTAGCTTTGTATTGTCATCTGGTTCTCAATTGTCAAGTAAATTATTCCGTGAGTTTTATTCTCCTTGATTCACTGAATAATGGTGCCACTATGCAACAAAATTGATCTCTACTAGGAATCACGTTGTGGTTCTATGTCTTCCATATTGTCGGAAATTTAGAATGCAGTTTTAGCTTAGCAGTTAGTATTGAACACAATTCGAGGTTCTAGACTCTGGGAAAAGGATGAGGAACTGGGGTACAGTGATTTGAAATTAGCTTGTGCATATCAAGAGATTCAAATAACATGGAACCAAATTTTTGCTTGCAGTTTCTCTGCTAGAGGTATATTATAAATGCAATGTCAAGCTGTAGGTCTAATTTGTGGAAACATCGTCAAGTTCCATTTCTTCATTCTAATTTTTAAATATCATATGGCTGACACATTAGACATTTTAGAATCTTAGCTTCTTGCACATGCAGAACTCCATTTAAGTTCTCGTCACTAATTAGGGTTTTCATTATCAAGTGCATGAGATTGATGGGAGGGGGTTTTTCCTGAAAGTTACTTATAGATCCCATGCATTAATTGAAAAAATGTGGTGGGGAATGCTGACCTTCCGGCCAAGTCTCAACAAGATATGTCGGTTTGTTTGATCAAGATACAAGACTTTGTCAAATTTAGTAACTTAAGCATTTGGGACCAGCGAGTTGTCCAATTAATGCCTTTGAGAAGTATGATTATTAGATCTGAGGAGGTTCGTAGTACATAGGGATTGTCTTGCACCCTGGTGGTGTATATGTTAAACAAGGATACCTGGGCTTAGAGGCTGAATATTATGACAAACCAATTTGTTTGTCATTAGGTTTTTGGGATCATTTGGTTGATGTCCAAGACTCCACGAGGCATAGTATATCTGAGTAGCAACATTGGGATCTTGAATGGTTACCCATGATAAGATATTTGTCATGACTTTGTTTTACTATTACACTTTCAAAGTTATTTTTTGGGTTGGGGGGGAGGGGGGGTTTGCTTCTTTGTCCTGGACAAAGTTGTATTGGCACCGGGGTATCAGAGTTTTGATGTCCTGAGGTTTAACTGAATTGTGCATTATCATCTTAACCATATGCTTAATTGCCTATCCATACTTAGTTTAAGATCCTTTGATGTGGTAGTTATGGTCAGTATTACTGTAGTTCTTTGTTCATGTCATATCCAGAGTAGATAACTCTGCATGTATATGTTATTCTGTGATAGATAATAAGGAATTGTTACTGAGTTCTGGAACTTTTTTTTTTGTTGATGTTGCACTTTGACGTTTCAACTCTCAGACTTTTCCTTTCTCACGAGAAATAAACTCTTAAGATGCCATTTGCATATCCTTGATGAGACTGTTATTTGATTAGTATCTTGAAAACTAGAACAAACAGTATGCTGAATGTACACACACATACATGCACGTAGACATGAAGTCTTAATACTTAGTATACACAGTTTGCAGTATGGTTTTGTGTATGTAAAAGTTTGTGTGTTTTTACACTGCAAATATTTAAAGTTTCTTTCAGTAGCAGCACTCAACTGTAAATCACAGATCATCCTGGTTTAGAATCTTTTACTCTGATCAAAACTGTTTTAATTCCTAAATGTGATAGATAACGAGGAATTGTTACTGTGTTTTGGAACTTTATTTTTTGTTGATGTTGCACTTTGATGTTTCAACTCTCAGACTTTTCCTTTCTCATGAGAAATAAACTCTTAAGATGCCATTTGCATATCCTTGATGAGGCTGTTATTTGATTAGTATCTTGAAAACTAGAACAAACAGTATGCTGAATGTACACACACATACATGCACGTAGACATGAAGTCTTAATACTTAGTATACACAGTTTGCAGTATGGTTTTGTGTATGTAAAAGTGTTGTGTTTTTACACTGCAAATATTTAAAGTTTTTTTCAGTAGCAGCACTCAACTGTAAATCACAGATCATCCTGGTTTAGAATCTTTTACTCTGATCAAAACTGTTTTAATTCCTAAAAATGAAGTTAGCCCCCTCTCCTATTCTACCCCGTCTCCTTGGGAAAATTGGAAGTTTTGGAAAAGAAAAGAGTTGACAAAAACAAAATAGATGCACCAGATATGTTACTTCCATTTTTTTGACTCTTAAGTACTTTATTCTCGTCCACTTGAGAATTATGCGTGGTTGCTGGTTCATCAACCACTTTTTGTTGACTGACTATCATGTTTTCATGCAGCTTGTTTCTTGGGAAGAAGGTGGTTACACAACGTATGACAAACCAATGCCACGTGGAGAAGTAGTTGTTGGCGGATGCAGTGTAACTGCTGGTTATTTTAAAAATGAAGCCAAAACAAATGAAGTGTACAAGGTACCTAGTTTTCTGGTTATCTGTACAATTGCAAGTAGAAAGTTTTATCTTGCAGTTCTAGTTAATTTTGCTATTTGACTCGACAATGCAGGTTGATGAAAAGGGCATGCGATGGTTTTACACAGGTGACATTGGAAGGTTTCAGCCTGATGGATGCCTTGAGATTATTGACAGAAAGAAAGATATCGTCAAACTCCAGCATGGGGAGTACATCTCTCTAGGGAAGGTGTGAAATCCTCTCTATTGCTTTTTCCAGAAAAGGAATCAAAACCTGTTTTTCTCCTGTTTACGTTTATGACCTTTCAAACACTGGTACAGGGGTTTGTCCTCTATTTAGATATGTGTATGTATATCTTAGTGTTGCACGGGGGAAAAAAGCATTTAAGTGGAAAACAGAAAATAGACGTCACAATTAGAACCAAAATCCAACTCATGCAGTGATATTTGTTTCAACCATGATATAAACATTACACCCTCTTCGCTCTCCTTCATTTTTCTTCTTGTGCTCATTAACTTTGAGGCGTCCAAAATTTCAAATGAAGTGTTGGGCACAGATCCCATAGCAGTACCAGTGCCGTGTCATGCCCGACATGGGTAGCCCTGTGGAGGATAAGAATTGATGTAGCAGGGATATGGACCCATCTGGAAGAATTTTAGTCTGCTGTATAGTGACAACAATTGAGCAATTGCAGTTTCTGCTCTTAGTGTTGTATTTGCTGATATGCATCAGTATTTTCTCAATTCAAGGGTTGTCTTTTCTGCCTTTTCTCTCTCTCTTCTTAATTTAGATTTCTTTTGGAAGGGACAAAACATATTGAATTGAAGCAAAACATGTATATTCATCAGCTTGTGCAATGCATTGCAGGTTGAGGCAGCACTTATCACAAGCAGTTATGTTGATAATATCATGGTATATGTTGATCCCTTCCATAATTATTGCGTAGCTCTTGTGGTTCCCTCACATCAGGCCCTCGAGAAATGGGCTGAAGATTCTGGCATTAGTCACAATAACTTTTCCGATTTGTGTAACAAAACTGAAGCTATCAATGAGGTCCAGAAATCACTTTCCAAGGTTTGTTCCCTCATTGGCTATTTAAAAGGTGTATCACTAATGTGATATATTTGATACTCATTAGGCTATATTTCGATTATGAAGGGTGTATTGAGTGATGAAGCTTTTTTTTTTTTTTTTTTTTTTTAAAAGGTGACATTTATCTTGAAAGGGGATAGTTTTTGTGATCATTGTCTTCACCTCTTTTAAGGAGATAATTTGCCTGAAAGGAACCCTTTTTAACCCTTTCTTTCACATAATGACTTCCATTTTGTTCGTTGGAATCAACAAGGAACAGGTGAGAGTTAGTTGGGGTTCCAAATCATAGCATCTATTTATAACATTCTACTGCTATTCTTCTTTATGTTCTACACATCTAAACCCAAATGCACATTATTGTCATTTGGAGTTCAGAATGCTAAAGCTACATGTTCTAGGGTATTCAACATCTTTGTGATGTTGGTCCAAATTTCAGGTAGCAAAGGAAGCAAAATTGGACAAATTCGAGATTCCTGCAAAGATCAAACTATTGCCAGATCCATGGACTCCGGAGTCTGGATTGGTTACTGCAGCTCTCAAATTAAAGAGGGAACAGTTGAAAGCTGAGTTTAAGGATGAGCTGGAAAAGTTATATGCTTGAAGAACTGTAGCCGTTGGAACTGTTCATGATTCGAGTCATGTCAGTCTTGGGGATCACATTGGAACATAACACGCAATGCCTATCACAAAGTTTTATCTGAATTTTCTAATTCTATTTTTTCTGTCGTTTTGTTTCTTTGTTTTGTTTTTCTGGAAGGATCAGAGTGACAATTCAGTGAAAGATTCGTACTTGATCAATGTAGAAATAGCTACGTACCATGCTTATTTTGCAGAAAATGACAGCAGATACCAAATAACTAGTGCCTAAAATTCTCTGTAGCTAGGACGTGGAGTAAAACGTTATCAGTTGTTTGGTTAGCTAACTTGTAATCTTTGTATAATCTTTTGGTTCACCGAAAGCTAATCTTGTAACCTTGTATAATTTGAAAACCTGGTGCTTTTCGCCCATGAATTTCCAAAATCTTGTTTTTGATATCTGATAACTATATTCAAATTTTTTGTTTACTGATGTTATATACTATAGGGTTAATTACCTTGCAGGGAAATTTAACATTGTATTTTACGTACTTTTGCAAATAACTTGCAAACAATAATGAGATATCCAATAAGTTTCATACTGACAATTGAAATTGTATTTTCCTCTACACTATTAAATGAGTTTCCTTTCCTATACCTCCGCACTTCAGCTCACTGTTTATCTGACGTACTTGTGCATCTTTCCCATCCATAGAATTCTACAAGCCTCGAAAATTTAGTAGTATCATCTGTTCTTGCCCAATTAATTTTGAGTTCAAAGTTTAAATTTCCACAAAACAATTGAGGATTACAAAAAACAAAAAAAAAAAAAAAAGGAAAAAGAGAGAGAGAGAGCGCCACCCGCTTCATGCATCACAAATGGAGCTTGACAGCTTCCGGTCTTAGGTTCTAGAATCGTCTATCATAACAGCTTCCCACAAATTTTCCCAAAGGTCATCCATCATTTTTCTTCTGAAGTGCTTGAGCTTAGCAAAGCTGGCACAGCTAGTAGGGAAGGTCGTAGGATGAGATATAAAGCAGGACCAACTAATGGAATCAATGATAAGGGAAGCAGCCATAAACCTTTGTTGTCCCTGCAGAGAGAATGGGTATCTAAATAATGTTTCTTCCTGGATGTCATAAATAAGCAAGTTCCTCTGTGTGCCCTCAGGAATAGAAGTGTTTTGATGCATCAAGCATGAATAATACGGAGGCTGACTGAATACTTACCATCTTCGAGCAGTCATATCATTGTAAACCCAGAATGGAGCAAATGTCGATAACAAAGCAAAGTCAATGCATGTAAGATGTATCTGCATTCCAGAAAACTGGCTCAGTTTCACAAATAGCAAAGGACTTAGGCTGCCTGCCACAGCCTACAAGATAAAAAACTTTTTAATGACCTAGTATCAGATTTCTCATTTTGTTCAATTGTACCACTCACTTTCCATAAAGTTGGCCAGAGATATTTTAAGCAGCAGTAGATTCCATGCGAAAAAATCTTTCAGCGAGTTACTATAATAGTAACAGGTGTCCAGCTTCAACACTGAAATAAGCAACACTCCTAATTGATTGTTGCAAGGCCTCAAGACTTTAAACTTACCAAGTAAATCTAAATTTGTCCCTTTGTTTCTCTTGTATTAATCGCCTCTTACTCCTTTTAGCCAACATAGAGAATAAAACACACTAAACACAGTACTCAGGTAATCCTGGTTCTAACTTGATGAATGAAGCCAAACTCTCAAATCATCAATAAGTCCAGAAAAAAGCATTACTTTTTATTTGGGAACTCTTATATACACCAGCATTCACGCTGGAATACATGTAGGATCCATTATCACGAGAAAACTCTAAAATATAATGGATTTAATTTGTTCAAGAGAGATTTTCCTGCAGGTACTGAAGAAAGGGTCCTCGCGTTCAGCAAATGCAACCCCTTTGGCCACACAATTGTTCATGCAAGGTCAGTTACTTCATCCTCAAAAAAAAAAAAAAAAAAAAAAAAAAAAACTCCTTTGGTTAATGTCAGAGTGTTCTTGACTTACCATTCACCAAATGCAAAGAACCCCCTCATCCAAAAAACAACGCCAAAAATCAGTGTCTAGCTTGTGAGCATCTTTCACTATTTGTAAACCCAACAAGAAGCATAATACAGATGATTTGAAATAAGGTGATTGCAGCTACTAGATGATCAACATGGTCAGAATCTGTCATATACAGACATTAAAAAAAAAAGGCTTATTCATATTAATGTTTGCCACCCACTTAGGGTCATATACCTTTGCATTTGCCATTTTCTTCCAAGGTAAAAATACAAAAGAAGCAATAATGCAGCCTGGCCACATCCAAAAGTTGTACTGGTGGCAGAAAAAGGGTACACAATCAAAGTAGATATGGCCTGATAAGATTAAAAACCAAACATAGAATCTCTTGAAACTGCTAAGCTGTGAACACAGTTAATGACATGAATGAACCCAACTCTGCAAATCAAGTAAAAAGGCCATGCAAGTTCAAGTATATAAACACTCACAAATTTGCTTGCTCTGAAGTACTGGTAAAACTCCCTCCAAACAGCCCCATCAGATAAACCTGCATAAGCCATTAAACCTAACCCTGCAGCCAATGCAATCTGAGGCATAGTTAGTTAGATATCACTTTAAGAATAGGAGCAAACATGAAACAACTGACATCTAAGATATAAACTTCAATGTAAAACCAGCACGTCAAATCAAGATAATATATAAACCAGATGCTTAAGGAGTCCAAACAACAGACTCTTATCCACTAATTTCTATTTTTACTATAAAATGACCTACGAGTGTAACTTAAATTAATTATAGAACCACACCAAAATTTTCATCATTTCTAATTTGAACTTCACTAAATTTTTATTGAGAAGTAGAACCTGATTTTCTTAGGAAATTTTTTTTTTGACAGGAGTTGATAATTATTTGGATGCAACCAAAGGATTTGTTAATAGTTATTTGAATGCTAAATAGTTAACCTCTAATTTTTACTCTGATGAATGACTGCTTGCAGCAACTTATCATGACTGTGCAAGCTTGAGGGACTCCAAGGAGGGAGTGACTTAGTGATCAATAAGAAAGTCATGCGGCAGTTGAAATCAAATACAGTGGAGGAGGCACAAAGTCTAGGAATGTGCCCATCCTGACTCAGTCAAATGTTGTCCAAAGATATCATACTTTAGACAGTGGAAATTCCCAATAAGGAAACAAGAGGAAATGATATCTTGTGAAATGTATTCCTCAGAAGTTAATGCAATTGACAGCTTTCCCAACTTATTACACCTATTATGCAAGGCAAAGCCTTACATTTTGCAGCTCTCCTAATATCATTGTGTTCCATTTCAGAGCAAACATCATTAGCACATCAAATTCCCCAGTACACTATGCAGCAACTCATGCAACTCTTCAACATTTTCTGCCATCCCTTTTCCTTCTTATTCTGCCAAACATACCCTCCTTAACTTTTAGATCCATTTAAGTAATCATCAATCACAGACCAACTCAAATTAACTAATGAAGATGGCAGTCATTTACAACAAACTTAAGGCAATAAATAGGTCAGCAACTCTTACACCATTCATCAACAAATATAACTTCATGCTCATCAAGAAAGAGGAAAAAGAGCTGGTAGAGGATCAGGATGTCAAATATGTTCACATGGAGATGTTTCATGACTTGGAATAAAATTTTGTACTTTAGGTTTAAATTAACCATCACATCATCTTTATCAAAACAAACCAAAATTCAGAATTTAAAGGCAGTTTTTCAGTTTTATTATATATCATGAATTTAATTCATTGTTGACCATGTCATACATTCAATCCTAGTAGGAAGTTTAGGTAATATAGTAGAAACCTATAGCTAGTGATCATGAACACCACTTAGGTATCCAAGTCCTGCTGTAGTAGAAACAGTTTTTGAAATTGCCTTTAGTATTACCACCTTGTAACTCACAAGCTTCAATAAAGATACTCTTCAAATCTAAGATTGTGCTTGTAATTTTGCTAAACCTTAAAAGTACAGCTCTCCTTCACATTCTCATTTTTCTTCTTTCTCTTTGCTTTTTTTTTTATTTTTTTATTTTAACCTCCTTCTCTCTCTCTCTCTCTCTCTCTCTATAGTAGGGGAGGGATAAATTGAAGAAACGGAAAAGTGGATTTGAACGCAGAACTTCTAAAGTCCTGGAACCTCAACCTTAGCCACTAGACCAAGACCTCCTTGGCTTTTAAAAGTCCTTCATTTGTTCCCCCAAACACCCAAAAAAAAAAAAAGCAGGGCCAGGGTGAGATTTAAGAAACAGGGAGGATGAAGGTGGATTTGAAGGGCGAGTTCCTGGGGCCTCAACCTTGCCATTAGACCAAGGCCTCCTTCGCCCCTCCACTTTTTCATCTGAAAGCTTTCAATAATTTCTCCTAATCAATTAAACTTTAATCACAGTCCAACCCCACTCCTTCAAAGCAAATCATAAAAACCCAGGGGCTGTTTCATTATGGTGGAAACTGGAGCTCTGGAGCTCAGAATTCAAGGAAATTGAGCTTTAGCCTGATGACTAAAACCAAGCTAAGAAGCGTAGACCGGCTAATATAAAGAGTATGCATCATGTCAAAGGCGACCTCTTTTTGAGGTAAAATGTGAATAACCACAAACAGCTGTCACCATCATGCCATGTATCTACACAAACAATAATAATGGAATAACATAAAGAGTAATGTAGCTTTTATGTATTCCTATTCTGGCAAACCACTTCATGTAACAGTTAGTCCACCAAATTGGAGTTTTTGTATAAACGCTTGTGCTCTAAAATAGGCATCATAAGCAGTGAAGGAGGTGTAGAGTGAGGAGAGAGAAAGCAACATGCAATTGAAAGGTTTGCCATATTAGGCTGGCAGTATACTGAGATCAAAAGGCTTTCTCATAAAGGCAAGGGATATATTTACTCAAAAAGTGAGGCTTGTATCTAGCCATATCGTAATAGAGAATGATCAAATGCTAACATTTACTTGTTTGTCTCCTTATTTATTGAAAGACACGTTAAATATGATATGTCCATACCTCCCTAACCTTTCCACTCTGTGACCAACTAGGATAGTTACATTAAATGAAGTTTCATACTTGGGATTTAAGATTATTCAGATAAATTTTTGGAATCATTCACTATGGTACTTTTTGAGACATTACAAAGAAAAGGTAATTGAAATGTGTTTTAGTAGTAACCAAATATAAAGTTTCCAGAATAATTACAATCCAAAGACATATTTATTTTAACAAGACAAAAGGTTGCTCCAGGTTTCTGGTGCATCAAATTCAAACAAAGCGCGAGAGTAGTATTAATAAAACCAGTTTTGTTTTCTGAACAA